GTAAATATTGAGACGTGCACGGAGGGAGATGGCGAAGCATCTCATAATGAATACTATCGGAGCCCGCCGCCGTAGAACCGCAGAGGGCCAGGGCAGAACGAAGTTCAGAGAGAGAGAAGGGACCATAATAGGGAAGTTGAAGACGAGTGCAGAAATCTAAAGGACGAGACTCAAGGATAGGTTTACGAAGAAGAAAAGATTGGGGAAGATGAAGACCAGAGCTAACAGAAGAAAAGTGGGAACCCAGTACGGAAGTGACCTGCAACGGGTCCGCCACAAGAGTATCATGGAGGTGAAGGACCGGTGAAACATCGAGAACGAACTTACCCGCTATCTTACGGATACGCTTCCAGATCTGGGCCAGAGGAGTTTTGGACGTAATTGTTGAGACATAAGATGCCCAACATTCACGTTTAGCCGTACGGATGGCCCTACGGGCCACCGCACTCGCTTTCCGAAAGAAAAGAAAAGAATCGGTCGTCTGCCTACGGCGGTGCCTCTTCCAGGCTGCACGCTTACAGTGGACAGCCCGAGCACAGTCCGCATTCCACCAGGGAACGCACTTCCGTGGACCCCGAGAGGAAGAGCGAGGGATAGAGTGGAGGGCAGCGTTGAAGACAGTGTCATGAAAAAGGAGGAGAGCGCGAGAGAGAGGCAGAAGGGAGAGGTCAGAGAGAGTAGCACTGAGGGAAAATAGGGTCCAGTCCGCCTTAGCAAACTGCCACCTAGGGAAAGAGAGTGAAGGGCGAAAAGAGAAAAAGGAAACAAGGATGGGGAAATGATCACTTCCATGGAGGTCATCAAGAACCTGCCACGTGAAATCTAAGTAAAGAGAAGAAGAGCAGAGAGAAAGATCAAGACAAGAAAGGGTGCGAGTCCGAGAGTCCAAATGAGTGGGCTCACCAGAATTTGGAAGAGACAGGGAAGAAGAGAAGAGAAACGGCTCAAGAAGGCGACCCCGGGTATTCGTCAGAACGTCACCCCAAAGAGAATGACGACAATTGAAGTCACCCAGCAGGAGCACAGGCTCCGGCAAGGAGTCTAGGAGGTGTTTCAAATCAGGAAGAGAAAGCGGGACACTCGGGGGGAGATAAATGGAACAAACAGTGTACCATTTCCCCACAAAGATACGAGCAGCAGAACAATGGAGAGGCGAAGGAAAAAGTAAAGGAACAAAGGGAACATCAGCACGAATCAAAAGAGCAGAAGAATTAGAAGCCCCAGCAACAGCTGGGGGGGGGGGGGAGAGAGAAAGGAATAGCCACGAAAACGACCAGGACGAGCACCAAGCATCGACTCCTGGAGACAGACACAAAGGGGCGAAAACCGCGAAATCAGAAGTTGGAGTTCGAGGAAATTGGCGTAATAACCTCGAACGTTCCATTGAAGAATGGACAACGACGAGAAGAGTAAGAACAAAAACAGAGAACAAGGAAGAAACAAAGGCGAAAGAGCAACAGAGCACGTTAAAGAATATCAGGGTCGGGATCAGGGTCAGCAAAGTCAGGGTTAGGGGGCATGGGTAAACTGAGCAAAGACGGAGGGAAGGAAACGGGAGAACAGATCAGAGGTGGGCGTGCGGGGTTTGGAGGAGGAGGAGGAGGAGGAGGAGGAAGAGGAGGAGACAACGGAGAGGAGCAGGCAAGGACAGCAGCAGTTAGAGGAGGGGTAGAAAGAGGGGAGTGTACCTCAGCAAGGGCAGTAACTGAGAGGGAAGCGGGGGCTAAAGAAACCTCCATAGCAGGAACAGGGGGCGCAACCACCGAAATGGGAGGGGAAGGAGCACGAGAGGCAGAAGTAGGGGCCGAGGAAGAAAGCAAAACCTTCTTACCCACCGGGGAGGAGGAAGAAGAGGAGCCAGGTTTACGCTTCTGACGTAAAGAGACAGGTGTCCCAGCAAGCACGTACTGGGCAACGGATTCTAGCGTCTCAACAGGAGAAGCTGAACGAAAGCACACGTGACAGCCGTTTGGAGAGCGATGGACATCAGCCTGCACCGACAGGCGGCGGGGAGAGTCAAGAGACGGAGGGGAAGGATGGGAAGGAGGAACGGAGGGAGACGAGGAAGAAGACACAGGAGACACGACAGACCGGGTAGAAGGAAAGGGAACCCCAGACAGAGGACCAGGAGGAGGATCCTTCGGGAGAGAACCCAAAGGAACAGAGGAGGGGGCAGTGGGCGCATCAGGGTCCAAGGCCCGGAAACGGTTGTGAGTCTGAGGAAGGCGGGAAGGACGAGGAGAGGAAGAGCGCAACACGCGAGCATAAGAGATATTAGCATAAGGTGGGAGCCGGCGAACCTGGCGTCTCGCCTCAGGAAAAGATAAACGCTCCCGGTGCTTCAAGTTGAGGACGGCTGCCTCAAGCTTGTAATGGACACACGCACGGGAGAAGGTAGGATGGGCCTCACCGCAGTTGAGGCAACGAGCCTGGGGAGAAGTGCACTCCGACTTAGAGTGACCTTCGCCACCACACAAAGGACAGAGAGAGACAGTCCCGGAGCAGCGGAGGGCACCATGCCCAAACCTCCAGCACTTGTTGCAGAGCCGAGGAGAAGGAATGTACTTCTGGACAGAGCACCTGGCACCAGCAAGAATGACAGAGGGTGGAAGGGTCCTACCATCAAAGGTAATCTTCACAACCCGGAGGGGTTGACGGCGACTACCACGAGGGGGACGAGTAAACGTGTCCACCTGGAGAATAGAATGGCCCTGGGCAGCAAGGATATGTCGAATATCGTCGTGGCAGTCGCACAGGTCCCAAACACCGGTCGCAACATGGGGCGGGAGCAAAATAGTGCCAACACTGGCATTCAACTGAGCGTTCTTCGTGACCCTAACATGGGTCTCGCCAAGGCAGGATAAGGCAGCCAAGCGGGAAGCAGCATCCTGAGAAGGAGCAGCAATGACACGTGTACCGAGACGAGTGGGGTTGAAAGTAATGGAGGCATCCACGGAATCAACGAGATGTCGATGGAGGGAGAAATCGTCAGGAGGCGCAGAATCAAGAGGGAGGAGATCAAAATATTTGGCCCATGAAGCGGGACCAAACAAGGCTTGATAGGTAGCAGAACTGGAAGGAATCGAGCGAGGGCGGCCGTGATGAGGACGGCGGTGAGAACCCCCAGAGAGAGAGGGGTTAAAAGGCGCAGTAGTTACAACTAGAGAAGGAGCCGCGCCAGGGGACGAGGTAGTCACCACTGGGGGCTTGGGGCTCGACCCAACCACAGAGGAGGGAGGGGAGCCAGGGGAAGGAGTCAGAGAGGCCAAAGGAGGAGCCAGGTCGGGGCCCAATGCAGCGGAGGCTACAGAGCCCGGTCTTCAAACACGGACTGACTCGGGGGCTTGGTCGCCCACCCCACGAGCCTGAGAAGGTAAACCAGAAACAGCCGAAACAGGAGTCATCATCATTACGAAAAGAAGAATTCATTCACGAATGTGCCCCCACACCCACCATGGAGCCACAATTAGAGGCAGGACACCCAACAAGAAGCTATCGCCGATCTTGCCGGGGCCTCCTAGGGGTGCGTCGTGAATATACACCCCACAAACGCCACCTTAAGAAACCGACAGTCCGTCGAGATCGGGTTCAGTGACGAAAGGGGGATTGACAATAAAAGGTTCCCTTCGCTCTCAACGTCGGGTACTACAGTTCTACGGGTGCAAGAGTATGCCTCCTCAAGCACCCGGGCGTCAAAATAGAAGAAGTCCAAGGGAAGAACCAGAACAAGCAAAAGGTCGGCAGGAAATGGCAAGCAGATAGGAGAAGAGGGGGGAGAAAAACGAAACAGAAGGAAAAGGAAAAGATGCCCAGCAGAATTGGAGAGGACGGCAGCAGGAGCACAAGGCTAGAAAAGGACAGAGGACTGTCCCAAGGAGCATCACACTCCTGCAGCCGCCCACTAAGCCCCCACACGGCGACAACGAGCTGAGCGGGGAGGGGGATACGGCCTGCAAACGCCACCTTAAGAACCGTCAGTCCGTCGAGATCGGGTTCAGTAACGAAAGGAGGATTACAATAAAAGGGTCCCCTCGTTCAAGACCTTGGGTACTACAGTTCTATGGGTGCAAGAGTATGCCTCCTCAAACACCCGGGTGTGAAAACAAAAGAGGGCCAAAAGAATTATGAAAACAGGCACTAGGTCAGCGAGAAATGACAATTAGAAAGGAGAAGGGGGGGGGGGGAGAAAAACGAAACAAAAGGAAAAGTTGTCCAGCAAAATTAGTGAGGACAACAGCAGGAGCATAAGGCCACAAAAGGACATAGGACTAACCCACGGAGCATCACACTCCGGCAGCCGCCCACCAAGCCCCCTCATGGCAACAACGAGCCGAAGAGGGAGGGGGTTTGGTGCCAGTAATTTTCTTCACATCTCGTTCATAGAGAGGATATGGCATTACCCCTAAGAGTCTGCTGCTGTATGTTCCCAATTGATTTAGGTGGTCCTTGGCTTTGAAGTTTGTCAATAGCCAGTTTTTTTTATCCCGGCCAAATTGTTGGGTCTACAGCTACTTTATATCTTCATGTAGGCAACATGTTTCTGTTTGCTCTTTGTGATTGGCTCAACTCCTGTCTTGGGCAGCGGCTTCTCAGGCAGTGGCTGTTTTTTTTACTTCTGGGGTTTAGGAGTTCTGATGGCTGTTCTTCCCAGCAGGAAGGGAAGGGAATTATCAGAGGAATCCAAGGCGCCAAGCCATTACAACTATACAGCACTTGGAAGTGATCAGGATAAGGATTTGGGATGGGATGAGCGGAAGGAATGATGCCCAACAACTTGGACGGTCGAGGATTGAATGCCGACCCGCATGAAGCAAGACTGTTGCTCTACCGTCCAGTCCAAAGCTCCCTGCTAATTTGTTGGATATGGCTTCGGCTGTGTAGATTTGCCACCCCCACGTCAATAGGTGTCCCGATGGTTCAGGTCCCTTTGTGGAGCTGTAATTAGGAACTTTCCCTTAATTATACTTATATATACAATACTGTACTTTTATACGACTTGCCTCTAAGAGACTTTTTCTTGCCGGCGATCTATCTGCCAGCAGACAAAATATTCTAAAAAGTTTGAAGACGGCATCTTCTGAGAAGACTGGAAAATGTCGTTGTAAGAGTGTGCCTCGTCCCAGAAGCCAAAAGGTGTGTTCAAGGGTATCGTGATGTTTCTTAAGCTCCCCGTATGGTGTTGAACCATCATCAGCTTCAACTAGCACCTAAAAAGAGTACTGCGTCAAAATTAAGGCGAACAAAATATGTTGCTGACATTTTAATGCCTGAAACGCTATGCGTATTAGTGGTTTTAGGTATTGTATGTACTAACTCTATCTATAAATCCAACATTATGTTTGTAAATCAACTATGTATGCACTTTTCCTGAATAAAAATTTATTTATTATTATTTTATTTTTAATCATCATTACCCAATTTTATACTTTTATGGGGTGGGGAAGCATTTGCATGAGGAAGACAGAAGCAGTAGAGGATGATGGTACTGAACTACAAATTACACCTACCACACATCATTTTCCATATTACACAACAGCATGTGCATGAACCCTTAAGTTGTTCCAATGGAATCTTCAAGTCAAAACATTTAAAACATTCGCCTCCTTTTGGCAAACTTTTTTCCACCTAGCTTTTATGCTACTACATCATTTCTCCTCCACTGTTCATATTTAATTCACAATTCTACAAACATTAACCAAAACTTTGTTAAATTTTAAACTCCAACTGGAAAAGATCAAGGCAAGTGGGCGGACCTTCGACAAGCCGTCGGCTTCCTGTCCTCATCGAGGCCACTATAGTGTTAGTGACCGCTCAGGTAAATCTAGAACCCCGATAAATCTTCAACCCCCCATAAATCTACAACTCTCGCAAATAAACATGCCTATTAATTCCTTGGGTAACATTAGTATCAATCCCAGTAGGCTGAGTGTAGCACTTACCTCGTGTGTGAGGAAATACAAATATTGCTCAAAATTAAGCTGTTGACAGCTTAGATATTCTCCAATACAATTTTCCACCCGCCTGTTGACATTGAGCAGGACACCGACATTCTGCGTCAGAACCTGTAGAGACCAAGATAGTACTATTAGAATATGTTCGTGGTGCATTGGTTTATACTAACTGTATACTAACTATATAACTATACTAACTGCCAACAAACTCACCCTTAACATTGACAAAACTTTCTATATTCTGTTTGGCAATAAATCCTCTAATCAAATAAATCTCAAAATAAACAATACCCAAATTTGTAACAAATTAGATGGCAAATTCCTTGGCATTCTCATTGACCACAAGCTGAATTTCCAGGGACACATTCTAAATATATCAAAAAAAGTTTCAAAAACTGTGGGCATTCTTTCTAAGATCAGATATTATGTACCACGCCCTGCCCTGGTGACTCTCTATTACTCCCTTATCTATCCATATCTCAACTATGGTATTTGTGCTTGGGGCTCTACTACCCAAAATCACTTACGTCCTCTAATTACTCAACACAAAGCTGCTATTAGGACAATATCCAGCTCTGGCCCCAGGCATCACTCGGTACCCCTACTCAAATCTCTGAATATGTTAGTCACTGCACATTCTCTCATGTGTATTATACATATATAAAACGCTAAACTATAATGCCAATCCTGATCTCAAAAGCTTCATAGAAGGATGTAACAGAACCCATGAGCACCACACCAGAAATAAATACAGTTTTGATATTCCTAGAGTACGACTTAATCAAACTAGAAATGCTCTACAAATCAAGGGGCCCAGAATGTGGAATGACCTTCCCAACCATGTTAAAGACTGTACCTCTCTCAACCAGTTTAAGTTAAAAACGAAGCTATACCTAATAAATTCCCTGTAACCTACCTTACCCTTCTATTGTCAACCAATGTCTGTTTTTTTTAAAGAGCGCTGTTTGTCGACAAAATTGTATTTGTGCTGCTTTTTCATCTATGTTTTCATTTCTTGTTTTCATTCTACTCATTATGCTCAATTAGTATTAAGCTTGTCATTTAAGTTTATCATGCCCGAAACGCTTTGCGTAATAGTGGCTTTAGGCATTGTATGTACTAGCTCTACCTATAAGTCAACCAATCTTTGTAAAAATTTATTGTATGTATGTACCTTACCTAAATAAACATTTTTTTTATTTTTTTTTTATTTTTATAAGGTAACACTTTGGTGTCAAAACTTTTGGCTAAACCTTCACTTGTGTATTCTCTTCCTCCCTGCCTTTGAAAATGTTGACAAGGATCAACGAAACATTTCTTAGTGTCAGGCCGTAATGAAACTGTAAAATGAACTATGCCGAGTACATTTGTCAACTTCTTTTTCAGATAAAGAACATAATGGAGATGATTCATGCTAGAATCATTGATCTAATCCTTTCTGTCATATTAAATGATAGTATATGTGTATATGTTTTGTGCCCTGTATGTACCTTGTTCTTAAATGCAAACCCTGCTCTGAAACTCTTCCTGAATAGATGTAATAGGAACCATAATCACCACCAGAAATAAATATATCTTTGATGTCCCCAGAGACAAACGTTTGTTTGATTCTGTTTCCTCTTTCCGCCGGGTATTGAACCAGGACCCTTAGGACTACGAGCCCCGAGCGCTGTCCACTCAGCCATCAGGCCCCCTTTCATCTACAACTACAAAGATCTACAAGATCTTCAACTGCAAAACATAGCAGGCCAACAGAGCTAACCAGGCCAACGATGAAGCAGCAATTGTAAGGAGAAATATTCCACACAAAATTCTAGATAATTTTCAAGAAAAACTTCCTGACAATTGAACTCCAAACTACGAAAGGTACAATCTTCTTAGGAACGTGTTACCAACCACCAAAACGACCCCAAACACAGAACACTGGGACACGGAAAGAACAACCAGGCTGGAGATGCCATCCAAAATATGATTAGGAGCGAAAATCTAACCCACCTGGGCCCAGACTTTCCAACTTATGTCAGACAAGGACACTGTGGTAAACCAGACATAATACTGTCAGACAACCACCACTTCCTAAACACCCGCATAGAATGGGGCCCTGCTTCTTCTTCTTCTTGAGAATAGGTGCAGTTTGCATGAAGGGTTTACCCTCCCGATGACTGCACCAGGACAGATGTAGGGAGACGCGTTGACGTTGAGGAGGAGAAGAAAGTCAAAAGTGTTAGTTGTGTCGGGCCGTAGAGAGAGGAGTGGCGACGAAAACAGAGGTGGACGTTAGAGGGAGACTCGCCGCACCGTAGGGCGGGATGACGAGTTCACGGCGGCAGCTGATCCACGCACGGCGTAGCGTTGTGCGCAAGACGTCTAATAATAATTCTCCGGAAACTTGTATACCGAAAAGCGCAAGCAGTATGCGTCCCAGATCACCCACGTGTCGGGACACGTGGCCACAAGGCAGTGCCTTTAGCCGAGACACCCTATCCGGCACCCTATAAACAAACTCCTTCACCCGTGACACCCAGACAGTGGATGAGCACCACGGGATCAGAAGCACTCGGGCATCCCGATAAGGGCCCAACACCGGACCCTCGCAGATCACGGCCCCAGCAGTCGGGACTAGGCTCCCCCCAGATCAGGGCAACAAAGAAGGGGGAACCGCAGGGGATGCAGGCGCGGCATCGACCCCACCACTGGACACAGGAGTCGAGGCCCCCAGGCGCACATCCTTCCACAACACCACGACGAGGTCCCGATCATCAGGGGCAACCCCCCACTGCGGAGATCCAACAGCAGTAGACGCAGGAGGGGGGGGGGGGGCACAGGCAGCAACTTCGGAGCCCCGCACAGCACCATCATCCACGCCGGGGGACGCCAGAGCACCATACTCCCCCACCTCCTCCCAAGGCACACCACGAAGGGGAGACACACTCCGAGCCTACCACGAACGCTTCAAGACAGGCCGCACCACACCACGCCCAGCAGGCCCCTCCGCAGGCACGGCCACCATCTTCACATCCACACAGGCCACACCCGCACCGTCCGAAGAGTCCACAGAGGCCACATCACCCACACTGTCCACATCATCCACGGAAACAGCCTCAGAACACCGACGCGCACGCTTCTGCAAAGGGATGGAAAGAGCAGAACTACAGTCGCCAACACACACAGGCACGGCAGGCACCGCCCCCTGCCGAAGCCCCCCTCCAAAACAGCAGAACCCGCGTCCCCGGGAGCCGGTATCACATCCACAGGCGGGGGTGGGACATGAACCTCCACCGGGACATCCTGCACTACACGCAGCGCAGGGGACGGCCCAACACCCCACACACCGGCTCAACAACCCCAGGGGCCACAGCAGTCACCAGACGTGTCGCACAGGCCGTAGAACTCGCCCCAACAGGCGGAGCAGCAGACAGGCAATCAGGCGCCTCAGGCACAGCACCCACTCCGTCCTCAGAACCGTCCGAACGCAACAGGGGCGGAAAATCCTCCGCACGAAAAACATGCACCCTACCAGTCGCTCCCACGTCGCACGCTGCAGCCAGATGACCCTCGTGACCACACCTATAACAGGTGCGCGGTTGACCCCGATACAGGCAGCGGAGTGTGTAACCCAACACGGACATCGACGACGGTACACTACACTTCAGCGACATCATCAGGGTGCGGGAGCCGTCAAGCATACCAGCACAGTGCCCGGCAAGGACCTTGTTCCAACGAACACTTAACACTGTCCCAAATCGTTCAAAACAGGAGGTTAAAAAGTCGTCCTGAAATTCGAAGGGGGCACTATGCACCGCCACAGACGTCAAGGTGACACTAAGATTCACCACCTTAACAGAGCCAGCAGTATCAGGAAGAGGGTAAACACGCCCCTCACACTGCTCGAGAAACGCCTGAAAGGCAGCCTGGAGGTGGAACTTGACCACAGCACGGTTGCCCTGAAGCAGCTGGACGCCCACCAGATCCGACAGCTGCACATGTAGCACGTCCACCAGGGCGACACCAACCAACGGATGGTCCACCGGCACCGTAAATGCCAGACCAGCCGACGTCCTCTTCACTGGAAAGCAAAAAGTCCCCATGGCTACGTAAAACGTCACCCTGTCAGTGGTAAACCCCCACCAGCAGGGCAAAGCAGCAATCACCCAACGTAAACACTAGCCAGGAGCGACTACAAAGGGAACTACAAGCTGAGCTGCAAGATTTACGTAAAACAGAGTACAACAAAAAATGGGATGACTTAATAAGCAAAATTCAAGTCGACTACACAAACCCAGGAAAGTTTTGGAAAACAGTAATAATGCTGATGGGAAACTCAACCGAGGAAACACCTTACATCATGGACGCCTCAGGAAATAAACTCTATGAGGAGAGAGAACAAGAACAGGAATTCAGGAAGTTCTGGGAAAAAAATATTCTGGATAAACTCGAAAGAAAATGGAAACTCTTGCCCCATTAATGAAAGGGAAATTACAACTCAAGTCGATAACAGAGCTGCAGCACTACTCCCGACGCGAGCAATAGACCTTAACAACATACGCGATGACTGCCACCTTATGAAACACATAACCATTGCAGAGGTCCATAAAACAATTATGGGTTTCAAGAACAAGGCGCCGGGCAACAGCAGGATAAATAAGATAGTGTTACCCAACCTACCAGTGATTGCACTCCATCAATACACATGTATAGTAAATGCAGCTCTTGCATCTGGACTATTCCCCACACACTTCAAGAATGCCACAATCAGATAAATCCCCAAGCCACGAAAATCCCAATTTCCCTCCTCGAAGTACTAGGTAAAATATTCGAAAAAAATAATCAATCAGTGACTTGTGAAGTACATGGAAGAGTAAGAGAAGTATAACACCATGTAACATGGGTTTAGAAACCGCAGAGGGGCCCATACAGCTATAGCCCTGATCTACCAGCATATAGCTAATGCAATGTCGAAAAAGGATCAGTGTAATATAGTGCTTAAGAGATGCTTCGAAAGCCTTCGACAAAGTTTGGCACACAGGCCTGTAGCGAGTAAACATTATACTTTCTCCAGTCTCTCATTATCTTAATCTTTGACAGTCTCCGTGGTGTAGTGGTAAGACACTCGCCTGGCGTTCCGCGAGCGCTATGTCATGGGTTCGTATCCTGGC